GAGAATGAAGACCTTGGGCCCACTGTAGGAGAGGATCTGGTTCAAGACCATCTTAAGAACCTGAACGTGCACAAGTCCATGGGACCTGATGAAATCCATCCACGGGTCCTGAAGGAGCTGGCGAATGAAGTTGCTAAGCCGCTGGCCATCATATTTGAGAAATCATGGCGGTCAGGTGAAGTTCCTGATGACTGGAAAAAGGGAAATATAACCCCCATTGTCCAGAAGGAGAAAATGGATGCCCCGGGGAATTACAGACCAGTCAGTCTCACCTCTGTGCATGGTAGGATCACGGAGCAGATTCTCCTGGAAGGCATGCTAAGGCACATGAATATCAACAAGGTGCTTGGTGACAGCCAGCATGGCTTCACTAAGGGAAAATCCTGCCTGACCAATTTGGTGGCATTCTATAATGGGGCTACAGAACTGATGGACAGGGGTAGAGCAGTTGATGTCATCTACCTGGACTTGTGCAAAGCGTTCCACACTGTCCCACACGACATCCTTGTCTCTAAATTTGAGAGACATCAATTTGATGGATGGACCACTCGGTGGATAAAGAACTGGCTGCATGGACGCACGCAAACTGTTGTGGTCAATGGCTCAATGTCCGGCTGGAGACCAGTAACGAGTGGTGTCCCTCAGGGATCGGGGTTGGGACTGATCTTGTTCAACATCTTTGTTGCTGACATGGACAGTGGGATTGAGTGTGCCCTCAGCAAGTTTGCCGATGACACCAAGCTGTGTGGTTCGGTTGATACGCTGGAGGGAAGGAATGCCATCCAGAGGGACCTTGACACGCTTGTGAGCTGGGCTGATGCCAACCTCATGAAGTTTAACCATGACAAGTGCAAGGTCCTACAGCTGGGTCAAAGCAATCCCAGGCACAGCTACAGGTTGGGCAGAGAAGAGATTCAGAGCAGCCCTGTGGAGAAGGACTTGGGGGTGTTGGTTGATGAGAAAATGAACATGAGCCAGCTTCAGTGTGCACTCACAGCCCAGAAAGCAACCGTATCCTGGGCTGCATCCAAAGGAGCGTGACCAGCAGGTCGAAGGAGGTGATCCTGCCCCTCTACTCTGCTCTTGTGAGACCTCCCTTGGAGCGTTGTGTGCAGTTCTGGTGTCCTCAGCATAAAAAGGACATGGAACTGTTGGAACAAGTCCAGAGGAGGCCACGAGGATGATCAGGGACTGGAGCACCTCCTGTATGAAGACAGGCTGAGGAAGTTGGGGCTGTTCAGCCTGGAGAAGAGAAGGCTGCATGGAGACCTCATAGCAGCCTTCCAGTATCTGAAGGGGACCTATAGGGATGCTGGGGAGGGACTCTTCGTAATAATACAGGACAAGGGGTAATGGGTTAAAACTTAAACAGGGGAAGTTTAGATTGGATATAAGGAAGAAGTTCTTTACTGTGAGGGTGGTGAGGCACTGGAATGGGTTGCCCAGGCAAGTTGTGAATGCTCCACCCCTGGTGGTGTTCAAGGCCAGGTTGGACAAGGACTTGGGTGACATGGTTTAGTGTGAGGTGTCCCTGCCCATGGCAGAGGGGTTGGAACTGAATGATCTTAAGGTCCTTTCCATCCCTCACTATTCTATGATTCTATGATTCTAAAAATGAGCAAACTCATGTATTTGACCGAAACACACTGGAAAACTGACTTGTGCACAAATGGATGCTTATGGCCATCTGATCCAAGCAAATAAAACGTGATCTATTTTAGTTGCATCTGTGCAGTGCTGTGCCCGGACTACTTAATTTACAGCAAAGGCAGTGGGTTTTGATATCACTGAGATCTGAAAGTTCCCTGGAAGCATCCTTTAGATACAAAAAATACATACAAGTATTATAATGACTTTGTTTAGGCAACTATAAATAAAACATACCCCTTGTATACGGAGCATGCACTCATAGGAACGTGGATGTTATCCCCTTTCTTCTTAGTATAGCAGGGACTCAAACTGGCAAAATCTGGAGATTCTCTAATATTCATGTATGCCCTAACAGTAAGAAGTTATTTTAATGGTCACACAGTCAAAATTTAAATACTTCAGTTTAGAAATACCTAAGCTTCTTTTCATGATCATTAAATTATAAAAAAAAGCAACTATTCCTTTTCTCTCCATTTCCATTTTTGGCCTCTGCTACTGAAAAATGGGCATTGGGATTACTGTATGTATTTGACGCTATATTGATGGCTTTGTCTTGAAGAAAAAAGAAGTTGTGCATAACCATTACCAAGACAGCCAGCACAAAATTGTCTGCTCAACCTTCTACAGACCTTGAAAGCAGTTTTACAATTAATCCCTGTCCTCACATGAGTCCATATCCCTCAGTGACCCAAAACTCCCCACTCTCCTATGCCACCAGTTATATCCAACCCGAAATTCACTATCAAAGCTCTTGTTTGAACATTCTTTAAATTTTCCAGGCCTTTTCCCTACTTCCAGCCACATGGACATGTTGACCCTTCCTGCTCTTCTTGAAATGCAGAGGCCGTCCTCTGGCAAGTGGCCACCAAAACTTCCCTACCATGGCTTCTTGCCATGGCCAGCTATTGACATAACCACAAAAAGGCCTGATATTTTATCTGTCTTCTCCAGCTTGCAATGCTAGAAGCAAGCATTAGATAAGGTGACCATTAGGGGCCCCGTAGAGAGGAAAAATGGATCCAGAATAACAGCTACAGAAGCAAACTATGTTCCAATTCGTCTTTTGTCTCACAAAGCTACGTATCTGAAAATCAATTGTTCACATCAAGTAAGAGCATTATGTCAGCCAGAGCAATAAAAGCAACACAGGAGAGTGGGAGGCCCAGGACAACAGTCACGAATTTGCTTGGTAAAACGCATCCAACAGCATTTACATCTCAGTCACAACCTGCATTCCAGAGGCTGGATCAGAGGAAAGTGTATAAAACCTACTCTTTAATAATGATTTCTGCAGCTTATAACCCCTTTTAAACTATACACATGTGGGTTTAATATATACACACTTGACTAGCGTGGGGCACTAAGTTACATTTGAGTATTATTTATTAGACCTTTTTTAGGGTTAGAGCCAATTTCTTCAACTTATCAGATGCTTTTCTTCATGCCATATGCTTTTTGTTAGAAATGCTGCCTTTGAAAATAGACCCAAATCAAGTTCGCTAGTTTGGGGGTTTTAACACATCAGTTTCCAGTGCTTGAACTAAACATCCTCTCTTCCCACACCTAAAATAGCTTTGCATTAGGTATATATGTAACCAAAGGTATATATGTAACATTAGGTATATATGTAACCATAGCATTAGGTATATATGTAACCAAAGGAGCATGACACATCATAGGCATTGGTCTTTGAGAGCATAAGCTGGCATTGTCATTAATATCTGCATGGGTTTGTTGGCCACAAATACCCACAATTTATTCTGCAGTTCTTCCAGCCTCACGGTTTGGATTATTTGCAATGCAAACCATTAGCAAAAAGAAACTTACCTCTAATATTACAGCCATTAGATAGCACATAATTCAATAATGTCTTACAACAGAATTGTCTTTGAGAGACAAAATAAGATCCCTATAGGAACAAAGCCATAACAATCTTTGATACCACAATTATTGATGCTTGCTAAAATACCTTTGTAGTTAGGTGAAGAGATGCAAAATGACTATTTAGAACACAAATTTTCTGGGAAGGAAAAGCAAAAAAAAAATAAGTCAAATCTTCCATGTAGATGCTTAGTTGAATATGTCTGCAATGTGGAAGATAATATTCCTGTTACAAAAAGGGAGGAAAAAAGAAATTACATCTTACAAACACAACCAAATAACAAAGCAACAACTTAATCTTTAAGACTTCTTCCAACCCAAACCATTCTATGATTCTAGGATTTGGGGATTTTGGTCAATGAGAAAATGAACATGAGCCGGCTTCAGTGTGCGTTCACAGCCCAGAAAGCAACCGTATCCTGGGCTGCATCAAAAGGAGCGTGACCAGCAGGTCGAAGGAGGTGATCCTGCCCCTCTACTCTGCTCTTGTGAGACCTCACCTGGAGCATTGTGTGCAGTTCTGGTGTCCTCAACATAAAAAGGACATGGAACTGTTGGAACAAGTCCAGAGGAGGCCACGAGGATGATCAGGGGACTGGAGCACCTCCCATATGAAGACAGGCTGAGGAAGTTGGGGCTGTTCAGCCTGGAGAAGAGAAGGCTGCGTGGAGACCTCATAGCAGCCTTCCAGTATCTGAAAGGGGCCTATAGGGATGCTGGGGAGGGACTCTTCATTAGGGACTGTAGCGACAGGACAAGGGGTAATGGGTTAAAACTTAAACAGGGGAAGTTTAGATGGGATATAAGGAAGAAGTTCTTTACTGTGAGGGTGGTGAGGCACTGGAATGGGTTGCCCAGGCAAGTTGTGAATGCTCCACCCCTGGTGGTGTTCAAGGCCAGGTTGGACAAGGACTTGGGTGACATGGTTTAGTGTGAGGTGTCCCTGCCCATGGCAAGGGTTTTGGAACTGAATGATCTTAAGGTCCTTTCCAACCCTAACTATTCTATGATTCTATGAATTAAAGTTTAGCATGAAGATTGCTACTCAAAACAGACAACTGACTGCTAAGAGGAATTTTGGTTGTACATTATATAATGTACCTGATGGCAAAATTCCAGCCCACCTAAGTTACACCTAAATTGTGTGTGAAATGCAACAACCACATCCATCAAAGATGGGGATAGAGATAGGTTAACTGGCAGTATGTTCCCTTGCCCTGAAGGTAGCCAAAATTCGGAGGTTGCTGCCCTGGCTCTCTATCCCATTGCACCCGCCTTTCCTTTCAGCTCACAAGCTACCTTTGAGCCATTTGGGATCATGTCCTGCCCAAAACAAGGCACCAAATGTCACCCTGCCCCTTTCCCCCGGAGGAGGTCCCTCAATGCTCTCCTGCTAAGGGAACAAAGGGCAGCACAGGGAGGGAGCACAAAGCTCAAAGGGTAAGATAAGAAAGAAGAAGTCACAACAATACAGTTACTAAATGATATTTTATTAGGCATTTTTGCTGACAAATAATAAAATTTGGAAAATAAAGGAAGAAATGGGCAGAGATAGACATAGTCCCAGATTTTGAGTGAAAAACATTTGGTCACAGTTTCTCACTGGAAAACAAAGGTCTGTAATCAGCAGATTGATATGAAGCTGCAAGGACATCAGACTCAGTAGTAAAAACAGTAGTAAAAGTAATCATAACAAAATGTACAGGGCAGGATGATTTCCACACTGAGGCACAAACTAAAATGGTGGGCCAAGTCTGCTGACCATCCTCTGTGCATTAACGAGAGTTCTGCACTAATGTAAAAGATGTAAGGAGGTACTACAAGAAGAAGTACTACAGAATCAAATTAAATTGTGATTTTGTTCAGTTGACTGCAAGAGTACATCACATGAGGAGGATTATGACAGAAGACTGGAATTTGCTCAGAAAAGAAGGAGAAAAAAAAGTCTATCTACATTTAAAACCCAGAATGTAACAACTTTTACTTTTTCATCATCAGAAAAGGAATACATCTTGTCAAAGCGAGGCACAGGACAGATGGCCAAACCAGGGAATGCAGGGGGAGCATGAGGATTGCTTTCAAAATATCACAGCCTTTCAAAGCCAGGGGATGTGACAGGCAATGAAAAATGGGAGTGGGGTAGAGGAAATATAGGTGAGTTGCCCAGTCTCTTGGCACTGGTGAGGGGTTTGTGGTATGGGGCACAGGGACAACCAGCAGCAGGGAGCGTAACTAATACTCCTACAATGAATTTAGGGAAAATGAGTGACCAAAATCCAGCAGAAGATAGACACTGGACTCCAGTAAAGCCTGCCTGAAAACTGACTTAGAGGAGTAAGCACAAACTCCCCCCAAAACAGAGGGTGACATAGGAAGGTGTAAGGAGTAATGGGCAAAACCATGAGTTCTTCGTAACACCAGAGCCAAGCAAGGAACTGTATAGAAAGCAGACACGAGATCAGAGTATACTAATAATTAAGGAAGCACAGACATAAACAAGCAAGAGTCAGAATAACCAAAGACAGTCATATAAAATTAGCAGCTGATACTCTTATCATTACTTTTCCTAATACTGTAGGAAGGAGATTGACTACTTCTTCATGAAAGTCTTGACCTGTCCTCGTTCATTTTCCCTCAACTAATATAAGTTGCTTAGTCTAGCAAAGAGGATACATGATAAACATCACAACTATACTTCACAAAACTTGATGGGGAAAAGGTCAATAATTTCTCAGGTTCAACAGCAGCAGAACTAAGACAGCCTGCGATGTATTAGGCTGAAGATGGAGCAAGAAGGATTTGCATCAGGCATTTCTAAATCTCTTCAGTGATAGAAATACATGTAACTCTTCATGATGTTTAAGAAGGTTGTTGATCTTCAAGGATTGCTTTGTTTTGAAAAAAAATAGGTTATACATCTGTTTGTGTGATGGTGGTGCCTTTTGAAGCAGACAGGAAATATGTAACCTCATGAGATACCTTACACAGAAGGCAGGATACAAAAACACCCGGAAAACATTCAAACTCCTCCAAAAATGCCCCATCTGGGAATAGATTTCTATTTCTGATCATCCATTGCTTTTCCTGAACATTACTTTTAACACAAAGATTTACTTCTGTTTGTAAGGAAGTGTAGATGTCATTTAACAAAGACAGTACAATAAATAGCAGTGTCTTAAAATAGAGTTTTCCCCAGTTATCTCATCAAGTAAGACAAATGCTAATGGATACCTCAGAGATTCTTGCTTTCTTCTTCTGATGTTCTCAGTGCCCTTGGGACAGGCTCAGAACTCAGCATCTTACTAATGAAAAAGTCATAGAACCAGAGAGGAAAGCAGCAAAAGATGCAGAGGGGCATGTAAGCCCCTTTGCCAGGGGTGTACAAGCCATGTGGTCTCTTGGCCAGCAAAGCATGCAGGACAGCATTCAGCACAGGTGAGAGGTTGGCGTCACAGTACGCAGGCATACGCAGGAGGTAGGTCTTCAGCCCCAGGAGGTATTCATCACCATAGGCTTGCCTTGTGTCTGCTGGAAGGTTCTCCATCAGCTCCTTTTCTTGCTTATCCCACATGTCAGATGTACCTTGTATACCTGAAACAGCAACATCACAGTACAGCAAGTGGGTTTGGGCCGAACTAAACAAAATTATCTATAATTAATAGTCAATAAGTTGTTCTTCACCATGATGCTGATTCAAAGTTGTTCTAAATTGGGTCAGTGAAGAACAGAGAAAAGTGCCAGTTAGCTGTGAGTGCTTTTACCCTGAGGAGAAAGTACGAAGCACAGACTACTAAAAAATGCATGGGGCACATGCACTATTTGGTTACCAGCTCCACCTAAACAGCCTCTCACAGCCACGTCAGTGTTTTTTTCTTCCTCTTACCCCTCACCATTCAGCCCTTACTCATTTTGTGGGTGTTTCTAATCAGTATTTATTAACATGTGAGAGTCACTGAGGAAAGACAGGCAAACTGAGGTGAACAGGATTTACTTGTGTTGGCCAAGTCCTAAGCCCCTCTTTCACAAGTGACGCTGGTACTTCAATAACTAGCTTTGTGAAGAATAAAGCTTGTATTAGGCCAGATTTCTTTAAAAGTTATTAATCCCCCCCCATCAGTATCATGTAGGAATGAAATCAGTGGCTTTTCCAGTGCATTTATTGCCCATCTATTGTTCATTAAGCATTGTAAATAAATAAAACCTTTAAATAAACACTTAAATCTCAAATACCAGGGCTTGTTTTGATGCATTAATTTTTCATCCAGAAGTCTGACAATGGGGCCGTGACAGTAAAACCTCAGTCATGTACCACTGACCACAAAGGCACCGTCAGAGGCCAGTGCTCTGCAGAGCCTCTGCCCTGGAGGGGAGGCATTTAGGGCAGCAGGGATTTATGGCCATTTTGCTTTTCATCAGCTTAAGAATTAAGGTCTCCATGAAGTCACCAGGACTTGCTGAGTAGAGAGATGTGGGATTTGATGTCCTCAGGTAGCTGCCAGGCATGTCCTAGAGCAGGGACATGTATGACACCCATCCTGCTCTTGGGTGCAGCAGGAGGTGAGTCTGTAACCTGGACAGGCTCTGCACAAAGTGCTCAGAGCAGTGGAAAGAGAAGGGTTTGGAACAGAAAGCAGTAGGAGTGCAGCAGAGGGAAGGAGTGGAGAGGAAATACCAGAGTAACATGGACAGCAAGGAGGCAGGATAACAGGTATTGCTGCAGGCACATCAATGCAAGATGAGAGAGTTCAGCAAAGACAGCTCTGGTATTAAGAAAGGTACGACTGACAGTGAGCCCTGAAGTGCTCATGCAGTTCAAGCAAGGGATAACACTCAAACCCAACACACCATGACGCTTGGTTTGTTAACTTCAGCAAAGCTACAGCAACAGGAAGACACAAACTGCATGAACCCTGCTCTGTCTTAAAGCAAGGAAAGCTCTGCCTAGGATAAAGGCTGCACTTGCAAGGCAGAGGCAAGCAGATGCAGAACTGGAGAGGACATCACAAAAAATGCAGATCTTCATTTCCATAAACAACATAAAGGATGGGAGAAAAAGTCCAAGTGCTGAGAATCACTCAGGGCTCTGTTTGAGGATGCTGACTATAGGGAAAGAAGCGAGGCAGAAAGAACTACCCAAAATGTCAAATACCAACCTGTTCGGAAGCCTGATGGATGAATTGCAGCAACTTTAATTCCCCATTTGGAAAGCTCTTGCCTCATTACTCCAGAAAACATGGCCAGAGCTGCTTTTGATGCACCATATGCAGCATACCTTGGTAGTGGAATGCCTCCTGCAGGAGCAATATAAACATAATGAAGCTCAACGGTAGATCTTTCCAGCCTTTATTTTAATGATTTAGAAGGAAGATTATAGCACAACCAAAATTATGCGTCTCTCACTGAGGTTAAAGACAAGTCAGTAGGGGATTGATTTCTTTCTAGAGGTTAAAAAAAAGTGAAAGTCGTAAATTAGCAGTTGCTTATAGCAGTTATGCTCACTAACACCTGACAAGACACCTTGTGTGGCAGAAAAAAATAAACCTTAGTGCATTTAAGCATAAAAACTGCTGAAAATCATGACTGTTGGTTTCAGAAACACAGATGATGTTTTAGTTCATATAAATAGTGGAGCAACAGTTTAATGCTGCTGTTTCTTCTTCTTACTGTAACATGAATTTCAAGCTCTTATTATAAACTACAGTTACAACAGGGTAAGTAATCTCAATTCTAGCTTTATAAAGCTAACTTATAAGTTCTTTCCAGCTAGTTTCAGAAAACTAGAGACAACAGTGGGCAAAAAACCTCTGTGTCTGGAATCACACCCCTCAGGGCAACAGGATTCCCCAACACCCATCACAGAAGCAGACCCCTGCCTATAGTTTTATCTTATCTTCTCCAAACCCAGCAGCAGTTGATCAGATGGAAAAGATAGAAAACAGACAGTATTTTAGGTGGATTTAAAATAAATCTGTATTTTTACAAACCCAAATCTTCCAAAAAATAGTACCTTCCAAATACAGAGATTTTCTCTGTTCCAAAAACTGGTAGACTGTCACTTCTTCAGCTTTAGAAAAATACCAAGATGCTTTAATTTGAGCATCGTCCCCCTCTTTACTTTCTCCACAAGTGTGGTGTTATCACCACACAGAGTACCATTGCAGATTTGGGGGTCATCACAGCCACCACAGGCTGTGTTAGCACTGCAGGGAGGAGGGAACAGAATGGGCAGCCCTTCCTCTTGAGGAAGCAGTTGGGCACATGCTCCAGTACAGACTGTTTCAAACATTACATATTTATCTCAATGTGTTTGATCTTTTAAAACAAAATACTTTGATACAGGGGAATTTTCAGGTGAGCCACTGGTGCTGTTTATTGGGTTTTCTACCACAACAACCAAAGTATCACTGGACTTTCTTATCTTTGAAGAATTCAGGCCAATTTTATGTTAATTATTCTTCTGTATGCATCCGAATAAGTTTGCGTTTCAATTGGTTTGAGCCAATTGAATCAGAGACTCTTTCTCTCTGAGGTCAGGCTAACCTCAAATTCAGTTAAATTAGCTCTGCACAGACAGGAATAGATCCAGCACAATGAGACCTCACTAACTTCTCTGTTAATGTTTTACCAAAGGACCCTCAGACCTGGCATTAAGAGAAAGTTATTTACTCAAACCAGCCGGTGAGCAAGAACATCTGTGTAAACAGATATAGTTTAAGCAGGGTCATTATCAACTCCTGTAAAGGCAAATCATTCAGCTCTCCATTTAACCCTGCAAACAAGCTCAGGCATTCATGCCCGGAATCAAGACCTCTGCCCCAAAACACTGTAAGTGCAAGCTTCACTTGTGTGCTCAGAGAAAACAGGTCTGTGCTTGCAAGGGCTGGTGGGCAGAGAAGCACCAAAAAAGTCCTGACAGTTCAGGGCTGATGCCTTTAAGTGTCAGCAACAAACCATAAGCACAGGCATGCAGATACAAAAAAATACTTGGGATTATAAACTGAGAAAAGAAGATTGCAGTGTCAGAGCTAGCCTGCAGCCACATCCTCAGCATAAGCCATGAACACCAGGTAACACCTTCACAAGCCACCCCAGCAGCACAGCAGGACTTGGGGGGACAGAAGCTGTGCAGAAGTAAGGGTCCAAGCAGACAGGGCAAAGGAACATTTGGGAAGCAGATGATACAGTAGATCCTTAAGAGGTCTTAAACCAAAATACTTCCCAGCATCATGACATCCTGCTTCTAGCAGGTCTCATTTCAAAGGAGCATTCTTGCTCCTCAGCTGTTGGCTAACCAGATACTGTATTACTTCAGTTCCTACATCTTAATCTCCGCTGTTCTCCTAGAATAGAAGTCATGTTATAAAAGCATATATATATATAGCAAGTACAATTTATGGGACAAAACTGGAAATCATATCACATGCTATTAATTTTTAAAAAGTTGTTTCACTCATGAAAAAATACCATCTTCCTAATAAGTTAGGCTAAAGTAATTTTTAAGAAAAAATTGAAAATATTTTTACAGAAATACACACACTCTCTTCAGTTCCCAGGTTTTTAGCAGACCATGCTCTAGGACTGTGTACTCTAAAAAGAACCATCGGATTCAGCAAAAATTAAAACTCTGTTTTGAAGAATTTAATGTTTTTCTTCAGCAGCTGATTCATTATTGTGCTTTCTCACCCTAACTATAGTAACTGAGCCCTTCAGGGGTGGAAAGGTGGAGCTGCCCAAGTGAAATATCTAACATTTATTAGAGACTGTTACAAATGTCATGCACTTACCCAAAAGATATTTATGCTCTGGTTAACCCAAAGTATTAAGAAAAGGTTGAAACTTTATATGTAACCAGCCCAAATGGAATAAAGCCTTTCTCTGCAGAAGGCAGAGAAAGCTTTTGGGCATCTCCACAGTGTGGTTCAATGGCACACAGACATGGTCACAGACTTCTGCTGGAACATATTATAGGAACATCTGTGATTTACCACTCATCTTTCTGGAAGCTCACACAGCCATCACTCAAAGCATCTGTAACACAAGATCCAAATTTCACCATCTTTCCTATAACAGCCTATTTTTAGTTGCTTTAGCTGATTCTTTAAGGGCTGATTTCTGGAAACAGCATCCCAATCAAAAGAAAAACCTGCACTTATTACATAGATATTAATTCCCTTGGTGTATTGACAAGCAAGAACAACCAACACCTTCCTCCACATTTTTGCCAAGAAAGTTAGGATTTTTTGCCGTTGCACTAGCAGTTTTTTTGGCACTTTAGTTCAGCTCACCTGCCATGCTGGACATGTTAACCAGCCTCCCCTTGGATTTCCGGAGTAATGATAAGAAGGTCTTGGACACTTCTACAGCCCCAAAGAAATTCACCTCCATGCACATCCTGTATGTGTTCATGGGGAGCAGCTCGCCATCAGCAGGGAAGCCCAGGATGCCTGCGTTGTTCACGACTCCCCAGAGTCCTGGGAAGAAGAAAAGGCATAAGTCTGTTAACAGCATGAAATCATAGAATCATAGAATAGTTAGAGTTGGAAAAGACCTTAAGCTCAACCAGTTCCAACCCCCCTGCTATGGGCAGGGACACCTCACACTAAACCATGTCACCCAAGGCTTCATTCAACCTGGCCTTGAACACCACCAGGGATGGAGCATTCACAACCTCCCTGGGCAACCCATTCCAGTGCCTCACCACCCTCACAGTAAAGAACTTCCTCCTTATATCCAATCTAAACTTCCCCTGTTTAAGTTTTAACCCATTACCCCTTGTCCTACCACTACAGTCCCTAATGAAGAGCTCCTCCCCAGCATCCTTACAGGCCCCCTTCAGATACTGGAAGGCTGCTATGAGGTCTCCACGCAGCTTCTCTTCTCCAGGCTGAACAGCCCCAACCTTCTAAGCCTGTCTTCATACTCCACAAAGGTCGAACTGATGAAAACACTGATGATCTGCAGCTGCAGACACACAGTGCTCACTCTATGAACAGCCATCACCATTTTTCATGTGGCCCAGAAAGCAGGAATCATTAATATAAATACCCTGGACTGCCTACAGACAGTGGAATGGAGGTGACACACAGAAGCCATGCTGCACCCAAAAGTTAAGAGATGCAGCTTATAAGCAGCTACATTAGTACTCCTGTTATAATGGGAAAAATACACTGTTACCTGTATTTTGCACCCTCTCTGAGACTTTCAGCAAGGCTTCCTTGACTTGTTTGGCATTGGTTACATCCAGCTGCAGCACAGAAAGTCTCCGAGAACAGGTCCGTCTCAGTTCCTTAGCTCCAGGTCCATCCTTATTCAAAACCCCAGCAAACACAACGAAGCCTAAGCTATCCAGGTATTTAGCCAGTGCATGTCCTATCCCCGTGTCACTTCCTGAAAGCATCAAAAAGACTTGAAAAGTAGGTCTGTCCTAAACCATTATTAAAGGCACACACATGCAAATGTAATGTGTAATGGAAACACATGCAAATGTAACCAGAAGGGTGATGAAATAAAGTCACTGAAATACGTATGACAGTTGGAAGTTCAGATACGAAGGTTTGCGGAGCTGGACCTTCGCATGTTCCACAAAGCTTGATAGACCATGTGTTCTTGCCTTCTTGCTGACAGCATCACTTCATGCTCTACCAGTAACAGATTCCAAGACATACTCCATACACACAGCGGAAATAAAACCATAGATTGGGTTTATACAACTATTCAGACTGAAACCTTCTAACAAAAGTGTCTAGGGAAAATAAAAACATGCACGCTTTAATTTGAAATCTCAGATGGAGAAAGCAATTACAGGACATTGGAATTCAAATTGTTGGGTTTTATTTCTTACTTCAAAGAAGCAGCATTATTCTATTCAAACATCTACTGTCCAGATCCTTCTGATAAATACTTTTTTTGTCACAGGCTGCAACCAAGCCAAAGCCAAGCAACTGTTTCTTTACCTGCAAAGGAGTTCAATGATTTCAAACCCCAAGAAAGCCCTTGAGTGGCATTTTTAGGTTAAGCCAAACAGCACCAGCTATTTAATTCATGCTAACACTAATTAGAACTTCTCTCATCCCATCTATCCAAACTTATTCCCAAACTGTTTCTTACAATAAGGCACTGAACTACCAAACGCAGGAAGCACAACTGCAGCAAACACACGACTGCTGCGATAACAACTGTGCAATTCCTTCAACCAGGTAAGGAGAAATATTTAACAAATAATTCAGCTGATTCACAAGTCTCTCCCTTTGTCGCAGCGTTTTGCAATTTTAAGATATGTTAAGAAGGTGTTTTCTCTCCTGATGTCTTTTTTAACTCTGATTCCCATTCTTCTCGCCTACAGAGAAGCTTCTCAGCAAGGGAAGAAACGTGTCACCTATCTGCCCACCAAGACCCCAGATGAGGCAACATAGGGCTCTGCTAGAGAGAGGGAAGGAGTTTATAGGGTCTATGCTGCAGAAGTTTTGCAAAGGACAATGTCAGGAGGTAAATGAGGAGTTTAAGTAACTAATGCAGTTTTTACACTGTAAAGCAGAGACACATCAGCATGTGCTGTGATTGTGCACCACACATTCCACTCTAACTGCGGCAAAGCAAGCTCCTGGATGTTGATGTGCACTGAGATCCATGGAGCGATCCCAGGGCTTGGCTATCTCCTGCAATAATAATTTATTACATAAATGCTCAGCCTCCAAACCTACATGGCTGGAAACGTGAATGCCGGACGAAGGGCTGGGACTCCTACCAGATCTTTTACTATTTCCTCATTTGTGAAAGAGCTGTGATACTCCCTACTTAACCCTACCATAAACTTACCAGGGTTAATCTCTGGCTTTGACACACAGAGGCAGATATTATCTTAGCTATTCACAGGCCTGCTCCTGCACCCAAAATCCATAGTCAATAGAACCCAACTGCAAAGAGACTCACCATAATCATGATAGATCTTAATTTCTGTCTTCTAGGTGGGTCTTCAGTCCCGAAAGGTGAAAATATTTAATCTCAGGTGAAAGAAACACAAACTAAATGCCTGGATCAGTCACTGCAAGTTGTTGAAAAGAATTTCGTGTCCTCTTTTTAATTCAATAAAGAAAAAATACCTGCTTTTTAGCATTTTTTAAGTCTGCAGTCTGTTGAAGATGTACCAGAGCACCGCGTATATCACATTTAGCTTCTTTCAGCCCTGACCCAAAAGAGAAGAAAAAACCTGCATTCTTGGAATTCTCTAAAGAGACATGAAGAGGCCTGCAAATATCCCAAAGACAAGACAGATTTCTGCGTTTGGGGGCCAGGTGTCTTTCCTTTCTGTTTTCTTAGTGAAAAACCCTATTTCTAGATCAAATCCTTCCCCTTTCATCCTTCCCAGCAAGTACATAGCCACAGATACAGATATTAATTTTTACAACACAGCTTTAACTTGTTGATCACTCTGCCACTTCCCAAATAGGGATGGGTGTAGCAGCTCCAAGAAGGAAATAAAAAGCAGTGTTCATCTGTGCCTGCCATTGGGTTTGTCCCCAGCTTTTATCAAAACAAGTCTGATTTGAATTTCAGACCTGTTTCTGACATCCAGAGAAACATTACCCTTCATCTCATGAAATTGGAACAGTTGTTAATCCTCTATAGGGAAGAGAGAGAGAATTCTTTCCTCCCTACTTGTATGTCAAAACCAAAACTTTGTGAATTGATCTAAAGATTTATTATAGGAAAGGCAGTCGCTACTGACTGCAACTAAATCATTACTGGGCATTTATCATAGACTCACACTAGGCATCAGAAATGACAAGCCCCACATCAAGAATGAAAAGACAAATTAGCTGCAGAAACTCATCCACACAAGATAACTGAAGCAAGAATTTCACAATTCCTGCTACTTTGTATCTTCACAATTTTTTTATCGCACTAATTTTTTACAGAAACTGGGTATTGGATCTACCAAACTACACTAAAGTGTTTGCATGTCCAGGAGCTTCTGTTTTAGGACACTGAAGTGCTGTCTCCCAGGAAGAGGATCAGAACAACTGTTTCACCAGTGACTTAAAGCAGGCTCTAGGACGGCTCAGATGTGCACAGTTATTCATGTGAAAAAGCATTTTGACAACTGGACGCAGTTTTCCCTTCCCATGGTACTCTGGTGAACTGTCAGGTTAAATAAATAACACAGAGCAGCATCTGTACAAGGGACGCCTAAAGAGGGCCAGAACAATATCTGACAAAACCCAGAGAGATAAGCACACAGATTATTACTCCATCCTTTGGCAGCCATCTCGCTAGTGATATGTGGTAGCTGCCCAGAACACAGCAGCATTCCTCAACCCTGCAGGGCTGAAAGGGGTGGTGATGGCAGTATAAATAAATAAACAGAATCACCATTTCGCACAAAGTGCCTGCCTCAGGTCTTTTTTAAATTGGAGAAAATGACATCAAAAATTGATTTAAATGCACCTTACACCTGCAAAACATCCTATGGCTGGTACGGGGAAAATGCACTACAGTCAAAACAATTTAACGAAGAAATGTGCTGAGCAAAACTTCTGTTCCAGTTAATGGACGGCTTGATTGATTGCATAACAGCCTGGATTCAAAGGAAGACCAAGAAGAGCCTCCTCAGACATGTCAGCTGTCAGAAGTGTCCAAACTTGCCTTTCCCCAGGACAGTTACAGCACGGGTACAGAGAAAGCACAATCACTTGCTGGAATATCCCCAACTATTCTTCACCCCCCTATATTGCTCTAATTCATATTCTCTACAGCAGGTAAGCTCAGAGAGTGCTTTTCCCTGGAGAACTGCGGTCTTACAAAAAGCAAGGAGATGCCCAAGTACAAGCACAACCCCCGTGTCTGCAACCGTGGGAAAAGAGGGATCCCCCCTGCCCAACATCCATCTTCATCTGATACACCTCCAGGGAGAAACCCAGCTGTGAGGGGAGGACATACCTTGTTCTCTCTTAACTTTTGCATTTAACCCCCATATTAATGCTTGCTAAGCAAATCTAAGTTATTTTCAGGTGCCCCTATAAAAGCAAACGAAATTCTGCACGGAATAGCTATGTAAACTAAAGTGACTTAATTCACCATTCCAGAGGAGAAAAAGAGAAAATAAAACAACAAAAAAAAAGAGAGCAAGTTAACAATACAAGAAGCAGTTGGCAAGCACTCCAGTTTAAAGGCTTGATTAACACAAATAAACAACACCTAAAGTTTTAGAAGAAGCAGAAGACATAAAGCCACAAAAATGCCATCCTTGCAAAACAAAAGTGAGGTTTAAGTAGATCAGAGTGTTAACAGAGACTCAATTAATTAGCTCTGAGCTTTCTCTGCTAATGAAGGAAATTACTCCGTGTCGAACGATTTCATACATCATTTCCAAGAGATATCACCAAACCACTGTCTGGAAATACATGCAGGATAGACACAGCACGCACTGTCTAAATGCATATACCAAAAGATAACCAAACATCCATATCCAGTACAATAAATTCAAGTAAACACAAGTAACGTGTGAATAGCATGTTCTACAGGCTCCCAAAAGTTAACGTCTCTCTTAAAAAACTAGAACACCATAAGTATTCTTCTGCTTTTTGCACTGGTTAATTTCACAACTACATCTAAAAAGCTACTTGTAAAGATTAAATGAGACACTAAAAAATAATAGCATCTATTAAAATGCTTTTCTACTTAATTTCAGAACACTTATTTACCTTAAAAAAAAAAAAAAGTCTCAGGCAAAGCAAATAAAATTAGCAAAAAAACCCAAACAATAAAAGAAAACCTCACAAGCATGCATTTCATAGATACTTAACCCGAGGACACAAAGTTTTCCAGCCCACTTGTGAGAAAAGCCAGTCTTGCTTCCCGAAGCACGCCTGCAGCACCCTACCTGTAATAAGCACAGCTTTGTCACCCACAGGCAGCAGCACTGTGCTACTCAGGTACATGGAGGAAACGAGGCACGAGGCACAGAACACCACCAGCCCCTCACCAGTGCCCAGCATGGCCACGCACAGCAGCCCCAGCAAGGCAGGCATGAGGCTCCAGACCAGTACATTTTCTTTACCCACTGGACTCCTCTTGGCTGTGCAGAACACAGTCACCCCAAAAAGCGCAGTGATGCCCACACAGAGCCATCCAAGGGGGCTGTCAGCAAGAGCATCCATAGCAAGGGTGAGAAGCAGGCACGCACACACCCCACCACCGGCTGGGTAAAAGCAGGTATTGCTAAATGCAGCATGTGTTATATACAGGCAGGGGGTGGGGCAGAGAAAGGGGACTCTGTTTAAAGGTTTGACATAATCTCACTTACCCTTGGCATCAGAAAGAAAGCAGAAGCCTTCCTTTTCTTACCTTTTATTCCTTCTGCCTGACAGCTCCACCTTCTGAACACTATGCTGACTGGATAATGATTGACAGCACTGGGAACAGACATGATGTAGCGAGCGCTGGCTTCAGGAAAAAATTAACTGCTATATGTTTTATAAGTTTAAAGTACATTTTCATAGAGTTGGACAAAAAAAACATAACAGTTTCCTTTACAGCAAACGGTTGGAATTTCCTGTCTAAAAACTTAGTGTAGTTTCAGTGGAACTGATTTCTGATGGGCAGTGGTAAAAACGAGTCAGGACAGGGTTATTTACTCTCTGTAGTGCAATCTGTGCGGTTAGAATTGTGCTTTATCACACATGTGCCACCTTCCTCTCACAACAAGAAGCCCAAAATGAGATTCCTTGCTTTAGCACAAACATGTGGCTAGTCACCTACTCCCCATTCAGCAAATATCTATAGTTAATTGACAATCAAGCCAGCCTAAAAGCTGAGAAAGGGTGATTACTGGTTTGCCATTAAGAACACTTCATTAAGTGTTACATGTAACACACATGAGATAGAATCTTCAGTTTGTCTCCAGTGACAACATCCATCTTAGTTTTGACACGAATATCTGGTTCAATACCCACAGCAAGTTGGATTAAAAAATGTAATCAATTAAATACATTTGAAAGATTTAACAGCTCCTGTCGTGTACTCTGGAAGTTACTTGAGCAGCAGGAAAATTTTGAAATTCATCCAGTGAAAGGGATTGAAATATAATTTAGCCATATTTAACCCTCTTTTAAAAATCCCCACTGATTGTTTTGGGGGAATGAGCCTAAGTTATCACACAGACAGATAACATGCTTTGGTTTTCCAATACAAAATGTAGTGCTGACCTATTTTACTTTAGGCACTGGAAGATTGAAGTACAGGGTGCAAACCTAACATGAGACACAAGCACATTTCCCTTCCATGATTCCTCTGGGGTTTTATGGGATGATGAATCTGTTGAATATGAATTTTTAGAGCCAGTAAAAATGAAAGCATACCTCTATAGGTAGTTTACATAAAAGATGAGGTCAGTTTCTTAAAGGGACATTACCCTCAAGGTCTGCTGTCATTACTATTGTGAACACTCATTCATCCATCCTGCCACTAGTGCAAGAAGTATAAACTATTTTCACTTCTCTGCCATTTGCTGCTTCTGCTTTTTAATAGCACACCAGTCTCCAGGTCAATTATGCCTTGCCCCCTGTTAAGGCATCTTCTTACAGATTTCCTTGGAGAATTTTGCTTCCTCTTCCTTATTTACATTATTTGGATGATCACAGATGTGCTGGCATTTAAAGCATCCACTCTCACACTTGAGGCTACAGCCAGCTGCAGCTTCTGCACAATGGGACAAGGGGCAGAAGTGACCACCTCCAGCCTGATGTCCACCCTGGCTCCCCTTAGTCTGCGGGGAGCAGATAGAGGTGGTCAAGGGGCCAATCTATGGTGGCCACCATGCGTGCCCCTGCAGAGCATCTCCACACAAGTCTTCCTGTCTGCTCTGTGCTCCCCTGCCACATCCCCCACTGAAATGCATATGTGCACGTGTACATGCTCTCCCTCACACACTGCACTGGAGGGCTGGGTGAATATGTGGGCTGCTGGGGATGCCATATGCACACACTGACACAACACCCATCTGCACCCACAGCACTGAAGAACAATCGTGGGAAGAACTGGTGGGGACTGATCTCTGTCTGAATTAAAGTTGAATTAATATTTTTAATATAAAATATAACCAGTGAAGGCTTCTTCTAATGAGAAACTGACCATGTGTTCACACTGGTGTGTGAATAAAATTACATGTAAGTGCATACACACCACGAGATGGGTTGCTATCAGATGGGTATGATCTAAAGCTGGCTGAGAAACGCTAACTTGCAGTACCCACTTCATGAACTCCCTCAAGAACCAGGGGTGACAGATTGCTGCTTGAGGACTTTTCAGCACAACTTCACAACGAGTTAAGTTTTATCACCATATGCCCAGTATCCATCTTAAGAAAGCATCTACTTCCTTTTCTACCACTTTGGGATGTCTCCAGTTCTAACAGCTGTACATTAACAAGAGATTGTGATTGAGTTTGTGTTCCTATTTCTCTACGCCATGCCTTCTTATGCTATGAATATACACCCTATCTCACACTTCCTGATAGTTTTGCTGGAAAAGATGTGGCTTCTTTAAATTATCAGGATGTTGCATCAACATAACGTCTGTTACAAGGAGGATGGATTTGAGCTAACTGATTTTGAGCCAAGCTTGACCTACCTTTGCCAGGACATTTGTCTGTCTTCCCAGCTTTTCAGAGGCATCAGACAATAACTCAAGTGTCCTGTCCCTTTCTGCCTTGGCAATCTATATATTCTATACTGAAGCCTGAATATTGCTTCCATAGTCCATGCCAATGCCAAACAGCAGCGGGTTACATGATTCAGACAAGCCTCCTGGGTGAACTGTTCCATTGTGCCATTACTTACCCTCACTTCAATCTCTGTTTCTGATGTTTCTAACTGGGACTTCGCAGATCTCAAGTGTGCCCCATGACACAAGTGTCTTCATGCTAAGTGCTAACTATGGAAGGTCAATTAAAGCAACGGCAAAAGATGCCTTTCATGCAGAACGAGCCTTGCATGGTAATCTCCAACATGAACAGCTAGTCTCTGTAGAATTTCTTGAGTCCAAATCCAACTTTTATCCCCCCAAAATTCTACAGTCGCAGCATCTTTCATCCTGCGTAGTATCGCTGAAGAAGATTTTCCCCAGGAAAACGCATGAATACCTCGCCAGTGTGTGGGACCCTTGATACCACATTCTCATTCTTTAGGCACAAGCACTTCTTCCCAGATATTAATTTACTTCCTTCCCATTTCTTTAAGCTTTTTGCTGTCATCCTTTGCTGGCTCTGTATTTTTCAACATGATAGTTACAGGCTGTGCTTCCGATTTCTGTTCTTAACACAAAAATAGGCAAAATGTTCAGGTTCCCCTGTTCCTTTTTTAAAGTGGGGAAGCTGAGCCTGTTCACAACTTCTTTGAACTGCAGTGCCAAGCTCTTTTTCTGTTCTGGTATTACTCTGGTAATAAGCACTCTTCTGTCTTTTCATAGCTTCATTTCTTGTTCAGAAGTTTTCCTGCTGTTTACTTTTTTTAAAGCCTCTGTGATGTTCCAACATAGTAGAAGCTTCCAATTGAACCACAAGGCCTTCAGAATGTTTCTGTTACCTTTCCCTGTGTTGTTTTTCACATCTTTGGCCACATTTCTCATGTGCTTCCTTTGCACTTTCCACTAATTTGCTAGTCAACATTCTTCCTTTCAGCACTTTCCCTTCATCCCAAAGTACCACATACCATTCCCAATATTTGCTGTCTGTTGATATTCTTCTGTCCCTGTTGCAATGTAAATTACATTCTTTAGAAGCATGAAACATTACTTCTACATGTCCAGTCTCTATCTCAGCTTCCTCTGTCTCTGCCAGTCACAGATCTGTTTTTCAGTTCAGTCTAGGATTTACCACAGAACTCTTCAGTTTTCCATTTTATTCTATTGTGTTTGCTGATTCAGGCTTTTTCAGTTACTCCTGAGGGTCCCTGCTCTGTGTGTTTCGTGTGCTTTGTGGCTTGGGTAAAGGATTTGCATTTTGAGCTCTGCAGGCAGGTTCTTGGATACAAGGCTTTTCTTAGAAAACAATTTCAGCAGAAAATAGGTTGGAATCTGCTTCAACAAATGAGTCATTAACAAAAAGATAAAAATCATTCTCCTGATTAAATATATATATGAGCAGAAAACACACAAAATCATTTGTTTGGTTGACTACAACTTCTAAGAGTATATAAACACTTTCATACATTCGGATTTTTATGGACTTCACGGCTACGCAAGCACTTTTCAGGCTATAAATCCTGGATGCAGAAACTATTGAACTTGCATACACAAAACTAATTTAGGCAAACAGACTTTGCTCTTACAAATATTATTGAACTGCTATACAAAGGTTGACATAATTCTTTTCCTTCAGCCAGTTATCTATTCGTGCACTCAACTTGAAGCACATGAATTATCCAGTAAAGGCAGCAAAACTATTAGTCTGCCTAAAGCCAGGAACGTAGCCAAGTACCTTGTGAATTAAGATCTCTGAACTCACAGGCATGAATAAGGGGAAAAAAGTTTACGTGTAACTGGAAATAGAGCTGTATAACCTCTCCTTTATGTTCAAACTATTTTTTTAATACACCCTTTGGGGAAATAATTCTTATCAAATGAAGTATGTATCCATTAAAGAAAAGTGAAAAATACATTTTACTTCCAAGCTAAAGGAGGTTTTGTTTTTAGAAATACAGTAATTGTAAAGATTGTAAATTCAAACATAGTAATTCCTGGAGATCTTCACTTGGCAGTGAAGAAACAGCTGTAGCTCACCATTTCTCAATATTCTAAGAAATAATTTTAACAAAAGATAGTAATATTAATAGTAATTACTTCTTCAGCTAAATCTCGTTACTTTCTCAAGTGTAAGAACCTCAGACTGAGGAACTTCTGTACTCATGGCCAAACCGGGCTTGTAAATCCTTTTGGCAGGGACCCATGCAACATACATCTTAGCATTATACAGTCTTCAAAAGAAACAATTGCAGCCTGCCTTTCCCTTGTGAATCCAATGCCTGCAGCAGCTCTATCTTTGCTTTGAAGTAGTAGGTCTTGTAATAACGTGCCATATGAAATAAAGCCATAGGCTGTAAGTCTTCCTTGGTATTTCCATGAACCCTAATCACCCTTTTAAATTTTCTGAAATAGACAAAACATCTTAAATCAGACAAATCATTAAGATTATGAGCACTCCTGTGTATTTGTAAGGGAGGTTTTCTTCTCTATGGACA